TTATATTTAGGTTAAAATGTTTTGTTTACTTGCACTGTTGTTAATTTACTGCTCTGTGTTTCCTTTGAATTGCCCCCCGGGGACAAATAAAGTTTTTTGAATTTGAATATTCTGAATAAGACACATATTTTAAGCATCTCTATCCTACTAAATTTGTTCTCCCAGAGAGGAGGGAAGGGCGCTTGTTGAACCCTTGAGAGATACATCTTGTTGGCAAATGAATCATCCGAGTTTCAGGATTTATGTTGTTCACTGAGAAAAGTTCCTTTTACATAATACTTTATAAGTTGACTAAATATTGAGCTGTGCATGTCCCTGCTAAATAACCACAGCACAAGTCCAAATTAATCACATGATCTCTAGAATATTAAACTTTAAACATACAACACAGCTTGTTCTGATGTGTCTTGATCGATGTAAGACAGGAGTCATGTCCCCAAACTACTTAATAACAGGCAAGATTGTCAGCACTTGTTGGCTCAGCGTTCATGTTAGAGGAACGGGTAATGAGATTATCAAAAGGCTGATTAAAGTCAAGGCCAGCATTTAGACCAACTGTAGGACTTTGAGTAGGCTAGAAAATGTGTTACCAAAAAAAAAAAAAGGTGAAAACCACACAGCTAGTCGGGGGAACAAGAAAGATCTAATGCTTCTGAGGGAGAATGTTTTTGTCTGAATTCTTGTTTTATGATGCTTGTGGCAGCTTCTTTCCAAAAACTAGATTTTTCCTCATTTCCTAATGTCTACTGTTCCTCCCCAGGGCTTTTACACAGTCTACAGGAATCTCTTTGAGTCTCTTGTTAAGGAGGAGATGGAGCACAGAAAGGTGGAAGATGAAGAAGAGGAGGAAGAGTTTCCTCCCTTTGGAGATTCCCAGAGCGACTACGATACTGTAAGCCAACCCCACTAATCTGACATATGAATAGTCTCTACATTTTCTTTATGTGCTACTTTCTTTGAGTAAAAATAAAAACTGAGGATGTCAAGAGTTTGGTATTTTTTTCTCGCTGTTTTACTTATTCAGCCTCTATTTCCATGTTGCAGGTGGTGCACGTGTTTTACGGCTACTGGCAGAGCTTCTGCACGCGTAAAAACTTTGCCTGGAAGGAGGAGTACGATACGAGGCAGGCCTCCAACCGCTGGGAGAAAAGGGCGATGGAGAAGGAAAACAAGAAAACCAGAGAGAAGGCTCGAAAGGAGAGAAACGAGCTTGTGCGACAACTAGTTTCTTTTGTTCGCAAGCGCGACCGGCGTGTACAGGCCCACAGGAAGCTGATGGAGGAGCAGAACGCCGAGAAGATAAAGAAGGTGGAGGAGATGAGGCGACAGCAGAGGTTGAACCAAGCCAAGTAAGCAGTGGATATAGTGAAGTACTTTTTTCCGTTATTTTCTCTGCTTCTTTCTGATGCTAATAATGCACTATTGCATTTTTATCCAAGACTGGCAGAGGAGTACAAGGAGCAGAGCTGGGCGGCCATGTCTGAGCTGGAGAAGGAGCTGCAGCAGATAGAGGCTCAGTACGGAGAAGAGTTTGGAGACGCATCAGAGAGTGAGGATGAAGAGCTGGATACGGAGACACAGGAGAAGAATGGTAACGTTTAATTTACTGCAGATACATGCATTAGCTCCTGCAGCTAACACTATAGCCGAAATACAATCTCGCCTGAAAAAAATCATGGGGTCTACTAGTTATGTATGCATGTCAGTAAGTATGGGATTTAGTCAAGTACTTAGATGCATGCAAGCTTTGTCGTGTTAAAATCTAGAAGTTTTGGAAAGTTCAAGAGAGCATATAAAAAGTGTTTTCAGAGTTTTACTCCTACTCTTATTTCTAACAGGATTTTGAATCAGTTCTAAAAAGCTCTTAGCAGCATCACAAAAAACAACAACATTTACAATTTTTGAAAAGATCTTGTATGCGTATGGAACCTTTGTGGCTATTTCCCTGAACAAAGGGAATAAACAAGACTTCAGGGACCCGTTAAATATTGAGTAATTAATCTTTTTCTACTCATTTTAGGGGGATGTATTTCTAAATAAGAATGATGCATGGCTTCACTGACATTGTAGACCACAGTGATGCTAAATGCTAACTGGGAGAGCTGTGATTGGTCCACATCAGGCGACTTGTTGTTTTTGCTCACAATGGTTTCTAATGCTGTTGATTCTTTCACAGATGCAGAGCAGGCTGATGGAGATGAACTGACAATTGATTATTACGATGATCTGTACTGCCCAGCATGCGACAAATCCTTCAAATCGGACAAAGCGTGAGTAACTCCCACCAGTCCGATTACATATTTAGTCTAGCGTCATATGACAACGTCACCCAAGCTCATTTAACCTTTACATCGGTTCATCTTGGTTGTTGTTTCTTTCCTCTCTGCAGCATGAAAAACCACGAAAAATCCAAAAAGCACAGAGAGATGGTGGCATTGCTGCGGCAACAGCTTGAGGAGAGGATGAATCTCTTGGTTTGAACGCTAACGGAAAGGAAGAGGACGATGAGAAAGAAGAGGAGGAGGAAGATGAGGAGGAAGACAAGCCTAGGCAGAAGTATGTATCTGGATGTGATGATGGAAAAAAACATAATTTCTGTGGAATTTAATCACATTTCTAAGTCGCTTCTCTGGCATTTTTCTCCCCGTCTACACAGGCTGTCCAAAAAGCAGAAGAGGAAAAAGAAACAGCAGAAAGTAGTGACTGTGAGTAATATCATTTCTACCTGTAAGCCTCTGTGTCTGGTTTAGTGGACTCTTGGTATATGTGTAGTGAGTCTTTCTGAAAGGCTCTCCTTTATCTCTAATCATGCGTCCTCCTTAGCAGAGTGCGCCTGTGGAAGAAGAGGAAGACAAACCAACGCCGACCACCCATGAGGAAGAAGCCACAGAGAAGTCAGAAGAGCCCACAGAGCCTGAGAAGCAAGATGATCTTCCTCCAGCAGAGGTCAAGAGGTCAGTCGAGTTTTAAAAAAAATCCTTTCCTATCTCACAATCTGGAAAATGTTTCTCATATACCATCTATACACACTGCTTGTCTATACGTCATTGTACTTGAAGACCAAAACAATGATTATTGGCTGCAGTAGTACTGAAGTCATAAGCTGCTTTTCTTCATCAATTTTACCACCAGAGGGCAGCAGGAGACTCTGTAAACACAAATTAAAAAACCATTACTTGGAGAGTAGTGCTGAATTCAAAAGGCAACTAATGGCAAACATGATGGATGTCATAAAATAAAATAAATAATGTTTGCCTTTAGTTGCATTTTTACGCATCCAGCAACTTTAAAGCAAACAATCAAGAGTCATGATTCTGGTTACTGCATGAATATAAGTCCAACATTAAGATCCTGTTCGCTCTGTTTTGGTGTCCTGAATCCTGTATCTGAATCTCAACAGCCTTATTCAGACTGCCGTTTCAAGCCTCGATATTTACGCCCCTGTGATATTGTGACATTGATATTACTTAGAGTCTAATTTTCTCTCTGCAAATCTTTTTGAAATGTGCACGCCTGCATTAGACTGTAACTTTAAAACAAATATTACATTATTGTTAAAGCTTTTCAGAAACAACCCTTTGGAGCAAAAGAAACTTCATCTTAGCAAAAACAAAGAATGTAATCCAAAACAACAGAATATTGAGAAATAGAAAAGGACCTCCTGGGGCCTCCTTTGTGTGACGAGTAGGGGAGGCAAAACAGTCTGTTCCTGAATGATGCTGGCTTTCGTGAGCTTTTTTCAGGTGTCTTAAACGTGTTGCGTTCTTTCTACTTTGAATGTGTTCTTCATTCAATCTGTCATTTAATGTTGCAGCAGCTCTGGGAAGGCGAAGGGAAAGAAGGGAGGAGGAAAAGAGAAACCGAAGACTGTCAAGTCAAACACAGGAGCAGAAGAGATTCCTGAGGTTTGTACAGTAGAGCCCAGAGTTTGAAAAATGTTGATGTGTTTGATATTTACTTCTGCCATGTTCATCAATACTATTGTTTCAATTTTGACTTCAGATTCTTTAGCTCTTCTCCCTTTAATCAGCTTTCAGTGATGTTATACCTCAAATGACATTATAACATTTTTGAATTGTTGTAAAAATATCATTATTATGTTTTTAAGGAATTGATCCTGCACTGTGTGACCTGCAACACTGAGTTTTCTACAAGAAACAAGCTGTTCGACCATCTGAAGACGAGCGGCCACGCCACCGCTCTCTCCTCAAGCGCCCCTCACAGCTCCACGAGCAAGAGCAAAAAAGACAAGAAGAAGAACAGATAGCACCTGGAAGCTTTGAGCTCAGCGGGGGAATCACAGAACCGGTGCTCTCTGGAGGAGCTTAATGGACTGGACGGACTGAGTGCTGATTTTACAGTTTTGAATCTTCTAGATTGGAACAACTGAAACCATGTGAGCAGTTTTATGAACCTCTCCTGGAACAAATATCTTAACTGATAAACCAGCCGTGATGTGTACAGGATTCACCTTTAATCCCTTTCATCCTTTACTGGTTCCAAAATCATGCTTCTTGGTTTGTCATGAAGAGCTCCATGGTGGTATTACTGTGTACAAAAATAAAAGTGATGCTGCATGTTGGTATTTATACAACAACTCTGAAATCATTTGAATGCTAACCAGTGGTGTTTGCACACATGGACAACACTCCTGAAAGTTTCCCGAAAGTTGTGGGAAAATGGAAAACGTTTTCCTCGACTTGACCCAGTCTCCTAGTAACATAAAGACAAGAAGTTTGGCCTCCTGAGACACCTCTTCACACTGTCCAACAGGGAAATCTTCATACTGTGAGGGACTTGTCTATAAAAGCACCTGAGGAAGATTTCAGGGGCAGGTTGTCTAGAAATGTTCAGGAGTGAACGTATGAAGATGGCTCACATACAACAAAAACGACTTTATGCTAAATTAGCATGTGCAAAAGAAGCATATATACCATTTATATGCTTTAAATGTTGAGAAAGAAAACGAAACAAATGGTCATTCAATCTAACATGGTATTATTTATTTAAGATACATGAGCAATAACAAAAAATAAAACTGCAGAATAAACATCAGTTATGATTCTATAGATACATCTTACTAAATAACTCATGTTTTTTATTTTTGTACATTAGATTATTTTTCCTCTAAAAACTGATCTCAGCTCAGCTCTGTGCTGTGTGTCTTCATAACGATAACATACAGATAAAAGTGTTAGAATTGCTTGAACAAAAGCACATGCATATAACAGAGAAACATGATCAACAGCATTTGAATTTTACAAAAGAAAAGTAGTCCACTCCTGGGTAGATTTCCTGGTTTTGGTCTCCTCACTCGTTCAGTGTCTGCTTGTGTAGTTGTGGATGGCCTTGTTAAAAACCGCCAGGAAGAAATCGACGTCCTCCTTTGTGATGCACATGGGGGGTTGGACGCGGAAGGTCTGCAGTGGCGAGAAAACAGAAGACAAGAGGGGAGATTATGCAGCATCAAGGATACTGATTACCGGGAAACATGCGTCATCAGGTCAGGGCGTTATTCTGTGTCACATATTGGAGGCAGAGAGATTTCACACAGCTTTGTTTGACTACCTTTTTAAATGATAACTTTACCATGAGGTTTATATCTTGGTTAGGAAACAGCTTTTTCTGTAACCTCCGAGTTTGGATCAAAAGTTTGTTCATGACGTTTTTCTAAATTAATTCATTGTAAGAATATTCGGAAATGTATAGAAGCAAAGAGTCCTTTTTTTAGTGCCCATGCTTGAGTTCATTGCAGGGATTAGGAGGATGTTTTTAATCTGGCTGCTGTATACACTGTAATGCCCTGATTTGTTATTGTGTGCAATATAAATAATCGGCTTGAATTAAATTAATTTTGCAGTTGAGCTGTTATTTAAAGCTCAAGTGAGGAACTTCAGCTTTGTGTGTATTATCTTCTTCCTGGTGGTCTGGTTTGCTTTTGTACTTCATAAAGAGGCATCAGTAATGAATTTAGTCTGTTTCATAGCCAGATGAAATATTCTAAAATATTTGTATTGTCTCTGTAAAATGTGCTGTTGAACTTATCGAACACTGTTGCATTTTTCAGGCCACATGCTGATGACAACGCAGAATAGACAGAAGAGAAACTAGGGAAGGTGAGTGTGTGTGGTTACCTGTCCATAGACTCCTCCTTTCCCTATCAGAACTCCCATGTCCTTAACGTCCTCGAAGATCTCACTCATCGCCTCAGGAGGCAGCGGGTCTCTGCTGGCCTGTGGATCAAACAGAAATGAAACCAAATGGAGGATCATGTAAAGTATTCAACATTATGCACAATATCCACACAAGCCTGTGTCCAAGTAACATAACCTTGTGCTAAATGGACTGACATGCTATTAAAAAGGGTTTGAATTCTGGCTGCTCAAACAAGGCAGCAGAAAATAAGCAAATGGGTCCTCTTCAATGTGGAAATTATACAAACATTTCTCACTAGTTTCAGGAAACAAAAATCCACAAATAGTGTTACATATTACATAATGAAGGATTGTCTGTGTTGTAAACCTTTAACACCTCTAACCCATGCAAAATAAAGATCCTAAGATTGCAACATTTCATGCTTCAGAAATCGGTTAACCCTGCAGAAAAGAATGTGCTGTTCCTTGTTCAGAGTGTTTTTATTTTGAATACTAAACCTAGCAGATTAAACTCAATGGAAGACCTTCTCCTCACTGCAGCCACTTCAAGCTTTACTTGATTTGTTCATGGATACAGGTGTTCACTGTAAGTGAAGGTGAGTGTATGAGTGTGACTTCTTCTGTTACAAACTCAGTACCTTGTCTTTGACCATTTCCACTCCGATCTGCAGGCCCTTTCCACGGACATCACCGATAATCTCATACTTGTCTCTGAGTTTTGCCATTTCTGTCATCAGATAGGTTCCCACGTTGAGAGAGTTCTGCTGTATGCCGTCTTCTTTGATAGTCTGAGTAGAAATGAGGTCCAGTTGAACTGTTCATGCACTGAGATACACCTAAAACATTTGGCTATACATGAGGTCAGGTGTTAATAAACTTTTTAACAGTTTATTTTATTACAAGAGTAGATTTTAATCAAATGAAACTCTTGTGTCAATAAACAGGACTTTGTAGAGAGAAAAGTAGAATCCTTACATCAAGCACTGATGAAGCAACGGCACAAGCTAAAGGACTTCCTCCGAAAGTGTTGAAGTGGAAGGCTTTACCAAAAGAAGCAGCGATTTCTGACAAACACATGAATAAAGAAACATTTCTTCACCAACCTTGGCTTTACATTAAAACCTTCAACATTACTTTTCTAGGAATACTGCTGCTTTTCTGACATAAATAGACTATAACGACCTTTTTCTTCATTTATGACTTTAATCAAAGATCTAAAAAAATATATATATATCGCCTTTATGTGGCCCTAATACTCCTTAAAAACATGTCTGATAAGTTTCTTGCTTAAAATCCACTCTGATCATGATTTAAGCATGCCTATAAACCCCTCTATTTCCTCACTGTTCAGAACAGGCTCTTAATGTGTCTGTAGCTTTAAATGCAAATGAGCTGTGTTTGACCACGCCCCTCTGGAGGTGGATTTGGTCCGGGCTTTCATGCAGCATGCCCAGTTGTTTACGTTAGTTGGAAAGGCAGACTCAGAGGGAAGATCAAACACCTAGCTGTAGGAGTGTCACCCACCTGGGGCATGGGTTGATGCCCTTTGTGATGTCACAAGGGGAAAATCTCCAAATGGCCTGTTTGAGCACAGATTTAAAAAAAAAAACTGGAGCAGGCAAATGATGGAGAGGAAGGACTTTTCTCATAACACATGTTAGTGTTAAAAAAGCTATGGTGAAGTGCATTTTGCATAATATGAGATCCTTAGGGTGAAATTACCTTGTCGCAGGTCAGCACTGATAGAAATTCAGCTGAAGTCATAAACACCCTAAATACTCATTTACTAGCATAACATGTGCCACACAATACGTTTTTCCATACATTGTTTTTTTTTTTGGTGTAAAAAGTGAAGATGGTAATAAGGGACTACACTGCTCATCCTTTTGTCTCATCAGATTCTTTTAAAACATTGAGAACATTGTCAGACAAGTTTTTTAATGTGTCCTACAAAAAATCTCACCTGGTGTTGTAACAACGGCTCCAATCGGAAATCCATTACCGATGCCCTTCGCCATGGTAACAATATCTGGAAGAACTTCATGACCTTGGAAACCCCAGAAGTGAGTACCTGTCCGCCCAAATCCAGTCTGGACCTGTTGGTCAACTCAAAAAGGTTAGTTTCATTACATATCTAAAATTGAAATATCCTTCTTGACTCATTACATGACTCTAACCTCATCAGAGATGCAGACCCCTCCTCTCTCTCTCACAAGTTTGTAAGCCTCCTTAAAGTAGTTTTTCGGGTACTGCACAGCTCCTCCCATCCCCTGTACGAACAAAAATGCATCAAGTCTTACAGTCACTGCTTAACTAACAAGCTGATAAAAGTGACTCTCTTCATGTTTTACTCACATTTAAAACATGCAATCATTCAAATTAAGTAAAAAGCAAACAACAGAATGAACCTGAATCGGCTCGCCAAAGAAAGCAGCGATTTGACTGGGGACACTCGTAGCAAACGTCTCCTTGAGCTGTCCAATGTATTGTTCATTTGCCATGCATTGGCCTGCAGGATTAAATAATATACTGTTAGATGGTTTATGTGAGCAGCAGGACAAACATCCTTTGCAGTGTCAGGCCTGGTGTGCGTGTGTTTGTGTACCTTGGGCACAGCTACAGTCTCTGATAGTCTGCACAGGAGAGTCCCTGCAGTGGCTTCCTCCCCACGGACCTCTGAACACATCAGGACACATGGTCTGTTTATTGGGCACAAACCTAGTCAGCTGGGTCAAACTGGACCGCCACAGTCACTCAGAGGTATTCCAACAAAAAAAAAAAAGGGCAGCTGTGCATTGATGCATACATACATTTGTGCAGCCTGAACTAGTGGCGATGGGGTATTTGTATGGTGAGTTGGAGGTTAGACCCATAGTCTGTTGGGTACCGCCGTGGTATGATCCTCTAGAAGATTTAAACACAAGAAATCGTGCATATTTGAAGAGCATACATGATATACCTTTGTCTTTACACTGAGTCATTCTGAGGACCATAAAGATAAGACTTGTACCTTAAAGTGATGATGTCAAAGTTGCCCGTGTAAAGCCGAGCCATCAACATGGCCAGATCATTGGCCTCTGAGCCGCTGTTGGTCAGATACACCACCTGGAGAGGGAGAAACAGACCAGCAGACATTTCAGTGTAACTCTCATATTGATCCAGTCTCCGCCCTTCAGTTAATAAAATCCAATGCAGTACCTTAAGAGGATCGGGTAAGAGGGAGGCTAGTTTCTCACTGTACTCATGGAGAGTAGGATGGACGTAGATGTTTGTCGTATGCCAAAGTGTCCTCAATTGCTTCTCTGTGGCTGCTGTCACCTTCCTGTTCCCACATGAGTTAGCATAAGACAAACTACATCAGTACAGAATATGCTATCACTGAGATACACAGCAAAGAAAGAAGTACGATCGTACGGGTTGCAGTGGCCCACGCTGACAGTAGCCACTCCAGCAAGAGATCCAGATACCGCCTCCCGTCCACATCCCAGATCCACTGCATGTGTCCCTGATGGATGAACATTGGTTTCTTATAGTAGGTTATCTTCATGGTCACAGGGCTGCAATTCAGTCTGCGGATCTCCATCATTCTCTCTTTGGACATACCCTGCATGGGCATAAAAAGATAAGTGTTAGAGTATGTAGGAGAATTAAAAAAAAAATGTTTTGTGTGCAGGCCCCAAAATAGATTGCAATAAACATTTTGAACAGGCATTCATGTCCCAAAAGGCGGATGTTTGATTTATTAGGATACCCCTTATTTTCATTTGGCATCATAACAAGTCGACGTTTGTTTTAAGGTCATGTCAAACCACTTCCACCACTGAAATCAGAGGCAACCCTGGTCGGTGGCCTTACTTTGTATTCCTGTGGTTTAAAATCGCATGAGGGCATCTCTGGCAGGTCTTCATGATGGTTTTTGAAGGCTGGTTTCTGGCATACTGCACCTGTGGAATGGATTTGGTTAAAAAAAATCATAATCTTAAGAAGTTAGGGAGAGTGTTATTTGTCTTGAATCAATTAAGTCAGGGGTCATCAACAAGGGCCGGCTTTTTTCTTGACAGACACAGTGGGGGCCGGACTTTAAATATTCTTGCACATAAGCCTGAAAGCTTTCAAGCCAGATGTGAAGAAGTTAGTGTCATCTCATTTGAGTATTTCAGCCTTGGGATTTTATTTGAATGTTTATTGTTTATTTGGGCCGAATGTGGCTTGCGAACCTCCATTTGACGATCACTGAGGTTGATCTTTTCGCTGAGCAGTTCGCTATGATGTCATCTTTGTAAGTCAGTGACCTGTAACAAGGCTACTTATCTACAGAAAAAACATGCTGCCTAATTGTCAATGTTCATTATTGTTGTTTAATTTGTTGTTTCAAACTTGAATCACTAAAAACCTTTTTGAGGCTCTTTATAGATAAGGTAGATCGAACTCTTTTTCTTTAAATGCTGACATCACTGTTTAAATGGGCCGATCCCCCTTTTTCAGGAAGCAAATACATCACCCAAACACAGAAACACTAGGATTGCATCCCTGAGGTGCCAGACAACCTTCGCAATAAGTATAAAAATATCTCATAAAACAAACCATACTTGAGAACAAAAAAAAAAAACACAACATCAATAAACTATTAAATATTATAAAATAGACTTCATAAGGGTTGAGATGATTTCTCAAAAATATCTTTTGGTTTCATTAATGTTCAAAAGGCAGCATGGTTTTTCTTAATGATTGTCAAATTGTCAGTGTTTAAAGTTTCCATTAACTTTACATTGTGCAGCACTGTAAAAGTCAATCCAAAGGCATCAGGGAAATGCTGCTGAATTATCTGGAAATGTTAACTAAAATAGTTTCATCTGAGTTGCAATTTTAGATTAAGATCATAACTTCAAGTCCAATGTTGACAAAGTTGTGTATTGTCTTTTAGATGTCTTTTAGATGTGATGACGGCTGAGCTTAGTTATGGCACTCTTTTGCGAAAAAAATCAGCCTGAAAAAGGGCTACTGTGTGGGTGTGTGTTTCTCTGGGGAGCAGGTGTGGAGACCCTGCTCATGACAGGTACGCGACTGAAAAAGAGTGAGGGCGTTGACATCGGTTTATCCATCACGGATGGTGTTGATCTTTTACAGAGAGAAAAAAAGTGTACGGCATAACTCCACTGCCTTAAAATACTTATGTCCGACCAGGTAAACTCCTAAAAGTCCGTAGCGACAACCCATCATGCCTTGTTACCTTAATTCATTGTAGGCATGAGTGCCACATTTGTTTACTTTGTTGTTCATAGTTCACACAGGTTATGCTACTGTAAATGTCAGTATTCCAGAGGTCCATATACTGACATTTAGGCTACAACACATAAATCAGGGGGTTCAGAGGGTCCATGAACCACCTCTCATAGCCAATTGTCCAGAATTTAAGTCAGGTTTTTAAAAAAATTAATGTTTTTGTAATAAATAGTCTACATGTTTCCCCCTTTCTAAAAAAGTGAACAAATCAAACGCAATAAAGTATTTTGTAGTGGCAGGGAGACTCTTCCAGTTTGCCAAGCTAACAAGCTGAACATCCATCTCTTAACTTCAGCAATAATGAAAATCCTAATACAGGCCTTTGTTCTACACCTTGCTGCCCTAATTTTTATTTTATCATATCAAGTCTTATTTGCACCGTCAACTCAAGACATTGATTTTCAAGGGAATATCAGGAACAAGCTTCAAACAAGTTGTTTTTTTTTTGTCTATGGTAACTTACCATTTCCCAGGTGAAATTTGGCCAAACCATTGTAACAGCAGGGCTGTCCAGTTAAAGCTGCACAGCGGCCACTCAGAAAAGACACAGCTTTATGCATGTTGAGCAGATACAGAGAGCATTCAGCTATCCTCCTAACTTCACTGTCTGGGACTAAAGAGCAAACTCACTTAAGGTTTAAGGATGGGTGGACAGTTATCAGCCAATGGTACCATGAGCCCATCAAACCACAATGATTTCTCTGCAACGACACCCTGATAAATATATAACCAGTGGCATCTTGTAATTAGGATTCCACTTCAAGCCAGCTGTTTGGGAGTTGTTGATAGAAAGGAGGCAAGGCATGTCAGGTCCTGGTTCTTTCCGGTTGTAGTCTAGAAATGATGCATTTTAACCCTGAGGTCAAAACTTTCTCTTTATTCCGCATTCATCATATTCACACGGTGGCCAAAAAACAAACAAAAAAAAACTTGTCCTTTTGCACACAATATAGTTATCTTGTGCAGACAAGATATCAACTTGCAGAAGTTATTATCTTATGTGCATAACATTATTATCTTCTGTGCACAAGTTAGATGATAACTTGTGTGCACTAGATATTAATTATTGAGCACGTTATAATTACCTAGGTCCTAAAAGTTATCATCTAACTAGGTAATTATCTTGTGAGCACACTTGGTTTACAGCAGTATGACATTACAATCAAAACTGAGCTTCCCACCTTGAGCTTCATGTATGAAAATATGACTTATTTTTCCTCTTAAAAACCTCGATTTTAGATTTGCATCATACAGATACATACTTTCACTCATTAGACTTATCTTACCCAACCATCCACCAACTTGATACATGTTAATCGTGCTCCTAAGTTTTTATTTTCATGCCTTTATTTAGAGAGAGGACAGTGGGTCGAGTCAGTAATCAGGGAGAGAGAGAGAGGAGAATAACAAGCGGGAAAGGAGACACAGGTCAGATTCGAACCCAGGTCACTCAATAGAGTAGCCTCCGTACATGGGGCACACACTAACCACTAGGATACTTATAATTTCTATGTCTCAGGCTCATCAACTTTGCTTCAAGTTTGGCTTAAAAAACTCATCCAATCTATAACAGCATCTACAGAGGCACTGACTTTCTGTAAAATTGTAGATTTGAGCTCAGCATAGTAAGCCGTGCTAAAGTCTTTGCTGAATGGGCATTGCCAGCCAATCATTCACCAGTTCAATGCACACCAAGAACTAGCTTAGAAGACTTGTTTGTGGAAAACCATTTATGTTTTACTTGCACAATGCTCTTTGTCCCCGTTTGGACATAAGGTCATAATACCTACCTCTGGCATGTTTAGTCATCCAGCAAGTTACTGTAATTCAATCTTGGGTTGCTTGACCATCACAGTCCTACACCAGGTTGTTATTCGTCTTAAATGTCCACTTCTTCACCCAGTTGTCATAGTAACCATACTTCAGGGATATTGTTTATGCTTCTGATTCTTCTGTTAAGTTGCAAGCTTGCAAAGAAAAAGCTTTTTCTTTAACAAAGTATTGAACCACAATGCAGAGAACTCAGAGACTCGGAGGTAGTGTGGAATGTGTTTGTGAATGGGCTGAAAAGCAAAGCTGATGAGGAAAGGGGAGGACAAAGGTTAATGCAGGGCAGGAGGGTATGGAGGAATCTTAGTAACAGAGGAGTTAATCAATGGCAAAGGCAGCGAGCAGAAAGTAAACATGGCACATAGATCAGGTGGATGGTTTTTAAACGCTTCCTGCCGTCCAGTCCTTAAATGCCCAGATGGTCAAAACACGTTCAAAGTCTTGAACTGGGTCTTCGTACTTCACATGGAAGAACTGTTATAAACCACTGTTATTGGTTGAGACAGATTGAAGACATTTGTGTTGGAGGTTGATACGAGCCATCAGGGACGGAAGGCAGTATCCAAAAACATGAGGGCTAGTTAAAACCTTGAGTATTAACTGGTAGAAGCATCAAAGTTAGCATCAAATGCCCTTAAGATTTATTTTTATTGCACATGAGAAAAAACCCCATTAAAGAACAATAACAAGCAGCACATAATGATTAGGAAGTAAAACATAAAACATAACTTCAGAAAGAAAAGTGCAGGAGAAGCTAAAGAAACCCAAAGGGGCTTGTCGAGTGGCCCTAAACCAGAGGAACAATTAAAGTAGTCCAAGCATAAACAATACAGCTGAACAGAAAACAAACTTCATCAGGTGTTGAAACAAAGATAAGAATCTGAAAGTTAGTACAGTACAAGTGTTTACAGACAATACCTCATCAAAGGATTTGGATACTGCAGAGAAAAACATAGATTCAAGTGATAATTGAAATCACTTCTAATGTTCTGCTTCCGAGCAACTAACAGGTCAAATTGGTATAAAATATTCCTGCAGGGGGCAGTGTGACAAATTATCATTCTCAGGGCTTTCATTCTTAATTTTTACTTTCACATTAATCATTAAGAAACAAGCAGGACTCAAAGTGTGTTCAGAAATGACACTTTTTAAAAAAACAATCATTGAAAGTTATATCCAAGCATGATTCAGTAAATCCCCAAATAACATACATTTCAAGTCCATTGTAAGTAAGGCACAGTACAAGATTCCTTCATCATTTAATAGTGAGGTATGTTTTAAAAATATTCTAATTACACGATATGTACCATTATACAATTCTTGCAGGAACAATAACAGAGGTAGTCTTCCTCAGAAGGTCATTAATACTGACGTTGTTCACATGTTCAAAGATCAACACAACATCCAGCTATCCAGCTGACCTTTTATCTTTTCTCCATGTAGTTGTGGATGGCCTTGTTAAAAACTGCCAGGAAGTAATCTGCGTCTTCCATCGTGATGCACATGGGGGGTTTGATGCGGAAGGTCTTACATGGAGAGAAAATATCAGAACAAAGAGTTTATGGCGCGCCGGAGATACTGAGTGCAAACAACATGAGACACCAGGTCAGACGCTTTACTCTTTCATGTACTGACACAGGCACATTTCTTAAACACACGTTAAAACAGCAGAAGATGAAATATTCAAAGCATCCAGTCAACTAAAAAAAAAATGTTTTTGGCAGATATGATGAGGGATAGTTGAGGCACAAAACACTGACTTCATTTAAAGAAGTTGAATTCAAAAAAGAGGTGTGGTTTCTTGTGGCATTTTGTGTATTTTGACTCTTAAATGCTCGGGCTGTTAAATAAATTATTCTAATGTGATTAGTGTATGTTTTTTTTCTGATGTCATACACAGCAAAAAACGGAAATACTTGCACTTAATTGTGTTAAGTGATGTGCACATGTGCAAGTAAAAGTCCTCCAGATCGGTTTGCTAAAAGTTAAAAGCAAAAAGGTGAGTGTGGTTACCTGTCCATAGACGCCTCCTTTCCCTATCAGAACTCCCATGTCCCTGATGTCCTCGAAGATTTCAGCTATCGCCTCAGGGGCTAGAGGGTCCCTGCTGGCCTGTGGTTGATATAAAGAATGAATAGTTATTTTTTTAAGTTAAAACAAAATGTGTTCATCATAATGATATTTAAAGAGTGTGTGACAAAATGGTTGTTATTGCAGAGGAATAAAAAGAAAGACAACTTCCAGAGAACCGGGACAAATTCTTATTTCTTTGTATTTGATAACTTTATGATGCAAACTAGTTTTTAGTTGTTTTCAGGGCATTTTTGTAAATGTCAAGTATGCTTAATGACTTTGATGGTCATTTCTGATTGTGTAATTTGTAGTAGACTGACTTCCTTTTGGTTTGTTTGTATAAGCCTTTGTGTATTAGAGTTTTCCTGAAAGTCATCCTAAACTCTGAGATCGTTCTCCATGCTCCTTGACCTAACGTTGTGTTAACTGCTGACACACCAGCACCTGAAAGAGAGAGCTTTACGGGTCTCAACGTCAAAAACAGCCTTTGAGAATATCAAACACAGACGTTGGAAAATTATTCAATGCAGCAGAGTCTCACAAATCATAAAGACATGTGCCAAATACAGGAAGTCTGAGGAAATGAAGCCAAAGTAACCTTATTAAATGAGAAGTCCAGGAACAGGAGAGCTTCTTAGAAGTAGTAAAAGTTCAAAAAAGACGACGCTGTTTGATGGAGGGCATGAGCAAATCTTGAAAAATGACTTTGAATTGGCAAGTTCTAGAAGTAGCCAATTTAATAAAGGCATTTTAACCTTTCTTGTAAGGACGGGAGCCTTTGCTTTTTCATGTCTTTTAACCTTATTCAAACCCTGACAAAGGAGGATACTTGCCAAAACTTTCTGCAGCTATCTTAAAAAAATGATGCTGTTGCTTTAATTAAATCAACAAAACTGAAGATTACATATTTCACCTTGACAGCATTTCTTTCTGATACACTGCCTCATTTGTTGTTTGAAGTTTCTTTACTTGCTCTTCCATTTGTTGGCGCTTTTTTCTGAAACAGTATCTGCCAGTAAGGAAAAAAATAGAACAAACGTGCAGAACTTCACTAAGTTGTATTTGTCCTGCAGCTGACATTTTTCCGTTCACAGTTACAGATGGCCACTTCTGCTCAGGCTAATTGTTAACTGGGGCACTGCTGAACCATGCCCCCGGGGGGGGCACAGCACAGACACACACACGTTGTTCAAGCATGTGAGGGGAGATGATTGTCGCTTCTGTTACAGACTCAGTACCTTGTCTTTGACCATTTCCACTCCGATCTGGAGGCCTTTTCCACGGACGTCACCGATAATCTCATACTTGTCTCTGAGTTCGGCCATTTGTGTCATCAGATAGGTTCCCACATTGAGACTGATCTGCTGCGCGCCGTCCTCTTTGATAGTCTGTTGATTAAAAAAAAAAAAAAAACATAGTGTTGTTTGAAATGGCATTCAGTGTTGTTTTTAGGATGATGAAGTTCAAGTTTTTAGATGCAGCTACGCTATCAATACACAGACATCCTGTATGCTGAACTTTAAATAAAACAAAGAACAGATACATTCTTACATCAAGCACTGATGACGCAATGGCACAAGCCACAGGATTCCCTCCGAAGGTGTTGAAGTGAACCCCCTTAGTGAAAGAGGCAGCAATTTCTGGAAACATGAAAAAACAAGCTCACACCTCATTCAATGGCCTTATAAACTAAAACCTTAGACAACTTAACAGTGATTGTACTGTAGCAACAATAATACAAGAAACAACCTGTGATCACACATCATGACACACAAATACATGTTGGAAACAAAGGGCATCATACACAACAGGTCAGCATCAAGATAAGACCGATAGAAAGCCACAGCAATGAGAAGCTGAAGGTCAAGAGAGCCATTTTATTTCCTCAGAACAGTCTCAATCTTAGTACAGTTGTCATTGGTGTCTGATTATGCAAATGGTACCAGGATGCTCTCTTATGGAACTTAAGATGAGATAAGATAAACCTTTATTCATCCCACAACGGAGAAATGTAAAGTGTTACAGCAGCAAAGAGTAGGGTTAGCCAAAAAAAGAGCACACAGAGCACAATTAAATAAATTAAAATTAAGGTGCATTCTCTGTAACTTTTTCACTTTCACAGATAAGTTTAGTTTGAGGCTTTTATAAACACAACTTTCCCTCTTTAAATCTTCCACTAATACGTTGCACAGTGTTATCTCACCTGGAGTTGTAACAACAGCTCCCATTGGGAATCCGTTACCTATGCCCTTTGCCATAGTAACCATATCAGGGATGACATCATGACCCTGGAAACCCCAGAAGTGAGTTCCCGTTCGTCCGAATCCAGTTTGGACCTGTTGGGTGCAAAAAAAAGTTACTATCACTGCAGGAGCTTCACAAAAAAAAAAGAAAAGAAAGAAGACGTTTTGTATGTTTGCTTTACATGGCTTTCTTTAAGGCATAACATTGTCACTTTGTCTCAGAACTGTAAAAATCACACATGGATTAACTTTGTTTTGTCAAAATAAGTAATAATATGAATCAATTATTCTGTTCCCTTCAGCGCTTCACTGCATTTTAGCACCTTTCATCTAACAGCCTTCAAAACACTTAATTGGTAGAGGCAGCAGTTTTAAGTACAGCTAACAGTAGATAGAAACACTTAACAGCTAGCTGGTATCAACCAGTGGAGTGTTCAGCAAGTAAGACTCAAATATTTAACTTTGGAGTTCAAAACAAACCCTATAAGTAAGGTGAATAATGGCCATACATTTTCCATGTGCCAAGAAACAAAGCTTCAAATCAGAGACTTTATATTAAGATGGACGGCGCAATAGCCACCTGGAATTGAAGCCAAAATATATAGAGCGCCCCCTGCTGACTTGCTGCAGTATAGGTTGTAAAGCCCGCCTCCTCCGTGTTAACAAAAGGGACATGGGTCAAAATATTAAGTTTAATGCACATCAAATATATCTCTGTCTCTGTCAAACCCAGATTCTGTCCTGAGAGTTATTTATCGTTTTTCTGAGATGATTTTTAAAAAAAAACAAGCTATTTAGTGCAAAAATGTGCAGATTTATTGTAATGATGCTGAATGCGTCTCCTTGCAGAACTATTACCCGGATTAGAGGAGTAAAGAGAAGATGTAATGAAAACTATTAAAAGTCTTTGAATAGTGTTTCCATATCTGTTAGTGTCAGCTCCACACCCACACAAGAACATGTTCTGTGACTGTGTTGTAATGTTGTATCAAATGTTTATGTGATGCAAGAGTGCAAACACTCTACAGTGCATTGAGTTAACCTTGTACAGTATCTGTTCATTTAGTGCACCATCCGGCACACGTGTTTTTGTGGAAATCAATCAAGTTTAAATTTTGCACAGAAATTTCACTGACATAAAAAAATCGTATCGTGTACCTAACCTCATCAGCGATGCAGACCCCTCCTCTCTCTCTTACAAGTTTGTAAGTCTCCTTGAGGTAGTTTTTAGGATATTGCACAGCTCCTCCAACTCCCTGTGCAAACCCAAACACACAATCATCACGTCAAACAGGAAGAAAAGAAAGCTAACGAACAAGTTAATGCTTGCTTATAGTTCTGTACAAAGAACATAATAGGTAATAATGTCAATGTCAAAAACTTTCAAAACATATTGACTGTAAAATGGATTTCTTGTAACGCTCTCAAACAATACAGTACCTGAATAGGTTCCCCGAAGAAAGCAGCAATTCGACTGGGGACACTCGTGACAAACGTCTCTTTGAGCTGTCCAATGTATTGGTCGTGTGCCATGCACTGACCTTTGGGATTCAACACAGAGAAGTCCTATTCATACAACTAGTCCAGACATAACGTGTGGATACAAACAGGACATTTCAAATCAATTTGTTTGTGCAAGAGAGATGAGCTGAAAACTTATTCAAGATATAAATGACCATTAGATGACAACAATTAACAGTGAGAGACCTTAACTTCATGCAAGCAATGTATTTATTCTTATTTTCAGCTGACTTGCTTACCCCTTGATTTTGAGGCAGTAACTTTTCAATTAAGTAAACACAGAGCTCTGTACAGTAATATAAAACACTTAAACGTGTTCCTTTCATTTTAAAAGAAATACTGAACACTAAAAAGACAAGCATTCTCTCCTTCAAAAAGTTGCCGATTACATTTTTTGATCGCTTGTAAACTCAAATGCAAAGAACAGAGAGTAAACACACATCGTCCAGCATCAGCTGTTCTTTGCCACCCACATGATCAGTAATCATTAAATGATAGTATAGTTAAACTTTCTGAGAAATATTGCACAAGGGATACTAATGCTTAATCTCAGGGCCAAAACAAAAGTCTTGATTTTTCCAGTTTTTTTTTTTATAGCAGAGCCAGTGTGTTTAACCATGTGTGTGTGTGTGTGTGTGTGTGTGTGTGTGGGTGTGTGTGTGTACCTTTTGCACAGCTACAGTCTCTGATAGTCTGCACAGGAGAGTCCCTGCAGTGGCTTCCTCCCCACGGCCCTCTGAACACATCAGGACACATGGTCTGTTTATAGGGCACAAACCTAGTCAACTGGGTCAACCTCTCAGTGACAGCCATTTAGACATCCAGCACAAACAAAGACATTTTCTTAACACAACACAGCTTCCTCTCTTTAACCTTTTTTTTTTTTTTTTTTAAATAGAAATGACAGAGCATTGTAAATGATACGCTTTTCTCAAGATACGGCATTGTAATACGTTTGCTCATACGTACATTAGTGCAGCCCAAACCGTTGGCTATGGGGTATTTGTATGCCGCGTTGGAAGTTAGACCCATGGTCTGTGGGCTCCCACCATGGTAGGATCCTCTGAAAGATTAAAACCATAACAATGAGAACACTTTTGGACTTTAGATTACAGAGAACTTTTCTTCGTCATAAGACGGAGATAATGGAACTATCAACTTGTTCACTAAACTGGTTGTATATGTTGTTTGTGCCTAACAAAAAGAACCCTGTAGCATCTTACATTATTGGAAGAAAGAAAAAAGAAAAGATCTTTGACTTTTAGTGTTTAGCCTTAGAAAATTATGTTAATCACTATTACATTATGATTTCTTAAAACACAACTATTCCATTTATACAAAGTTTTTGGGCATTTTTAAATATTTTAATAATAGTAATAATAATAAAGCGCATAAGGAATTAATTGGCTAACAATATGTAAAAAAAAAAACAGCAAAAAACCTCAAAGTGATGATGTCAAAGTTGCCAGTGTGCAGCCGAGCCATCAACATCGCCAGGTCATTGGCTCTGAGCCGCTATTGGTTAGATACACAACCTTCATAAGGAGAAACGAACCAGCAGCAATTTGAATTTTAGCAAACAAATTAATAATGGTGATCAAATTGAAGTAAGCCATCTGGGTACCTTAAGAGGATCCGGTAAGTGGGAGGCTAGTTTCTCACAGTACTCATGGAGAGTAGGATAGACGTAGATGTTTGTCGTATGCCACAGTCGTCTCAACTGATGCTCTGCTGCTGCTGTTACTTTCCTGTACCCGATACAGGAACAACATTTAATTATTGGAATGATATTTATCACGTGTACACTGCGTATCAGAACTGAACAAGTTTTCAGCATCGCAAAGAAACAAGGACCTTACGGGTGGCAGTGGCCTACACTGACAGTAGCCACACCAGCAAACAGATCCAAATATCGCCTCCCGTCCACATCCCACAGCCACTGCATGAATCCCTGGTGGACGAAGACTGGCTTCTTATAGCTAGTCACCTTCATCGTCATGGGGTTGCAATTTAGTTTGCGGATTTCCATCATCCGCTCCTTGGACATACCCTGAATAGAAATGATAGGATATCTTTATTTTGTGCCTGTGAAGTTCAACTATAACTGACTTTTAAATGAATGCAAAAGGTTTTTATATTAAATTCTGGTCAGTATGATATTCATAACTAAGGTAATAACAGGGCACACAATGTAGTATGTTGGTTTACCTTGTATTCTTCAGGTTGGAAATTGCATGGCGGCATCTCTGGGAGGTCTGTGGGAGGGTATTTGAAGGCTGATTTCTGACATAATGCACCTGATTTGAAATGAAGGTTACGAGAGACGGTTACGTTTTAAGACACTGCACATCCTTCTACCTTTCCCAAACCTTTGACTTCTGTAAACCTAGCCAAATCAAGGTCGTTTATCGATCCTAAAGGAAGATCTTTAGGATTGAAACTTTGCCCAAAGTGACGTTGCTCATTGGGAGCTGAACAGCGTGCGAAGCCTTCACTTTTTTTTCCTGCAGTTTATTTTGATTTTTTTCCCGGCACATGTATGCTTTTTTTTTTAATGGGATGCGTGCACACTAGTTTTTTTTTCTTTTTGAAGACTCATTTAATCAGTAACACCTCAATAAGAGGTCTTTCAATACTTGTTCAATACACATTCAATACAAATGTGTTTGGATTAATGTTTGGGGCATTCATAACATTCAGGATGATATTGCTAGTAATCTCTAAACCTGTTTAACCACATACAGTTCACCTTAGACCTCACCTTGTGCAACATGTGATAGGCCACCTAAACTGCATGTTTACCCCAGGTTGTAAAAACGAGGTCATTATATTCTTATGGTTCATGTCTACTGGAGTAGAAAACTTGATAAATTTAATTTCTATGTAACCTAACCTTATGCATTTCAGAAGCAAATATGATACTCTGACGTTTTTGTTATCCAGAGAGGTATTGTCCCATTACACCTCCTTCTTGATAATACACTTTATCAATGTAGGGCCTAGGCTGTACTGCCTGCAGAAAATATATCAACTTATTAGACTGCCTTGATATTTGGCAGCACACATGCAGCTACTATGTCTCAACGTATGGCTAACACTTGTCAACTTTGTAGCAGTTTTTACATTAAGTTACATTGAAAGTGTTTCCGTCTAAGGTCTCAAATAGCCTGCTCTGTTTCTAGATTATATTAACCTTTTTTTTTTTTTTTTTTTTTTGCTTAAATGCTAAACACAATACGTTCTGGTTCTGAAATGTGTTTATCTCCTTGGTAACTCACCACTTGCCAAGTGGAATTTGGACAAACCGGGACGAAAGCAGGACTTCCCTGTTAATACTGCACTGTAGCTTCTTAGGCAAGAAACAAGTTTATACATGTTGAGAAGAGGCTGCTATCCAACTAAATTCTCCGTCTGAAAGCTCTGCAGAAGTTTTCTTCCAGGCAGCTACTCCTTCTCGGAATACCCAGGGACAGGCGGTGCAGTGACCTGACCCCAATTCCACTTACGCTACGTTTCCCAACTTTGTATGGAAGGCCAATTCCCCTTTTATTCCTGCGCGTAATTCACCTTTCAAGGAGTTTTGGCGCCACCAAGCGTTTGGACATTTTTAAACACAACCCCGAGTTTATGTATGGTCGAATTATTTTTCACGTGTTCAAATGCATGTAGGCACTTATTTCTTTATTGAATAAGCCTGGTCTATTGAGCCTAGGCTATTAGATGAATTCACATAGGCATTTATTTAGTTCTGGGAGACAATTAAAGTATGACACAATGCATCTCCGCAGCTTCACACGTAAAAAAACAAGTTGCGTTTGTAAACGGACACAACTTAGCATTTAGACAAAGCTCTTGTTTAAATAGGACATAGTGGCTCTCCTTGGATGTCATTAAAATATAAACAATAATAAGATTAGCCTAAACCGATATGCCAGTTTGTGGACCATCATCAGCCATTGTATCAGATAGAGTACGCCTACATTATTTTACTTTTGTGGCTTGTTCAGTGTTTGTAAAAATAAATAGGACCTCAGGTATTGCTGAGAAAATACTACACTTTCTCACTTGAGGTTATTAATCCCAGATCTTTTTTGGGTGTAACACAAAGTTTTAATTCTTTAATGCTTTTATTGGTCATAAGCATTTATGGAGGTGTGGTAATTGTACAAATTGATTTGGGCTGTTGCAGTGGGAACCACAGTCTTTTCATGGGACTCAGAAATCCTGGTGACGCCTTTGATAATGAATAAAAAGCACCTTAATTTTAGTTTTCATTTTTTCCAGTTTTATCATATAATATCTGGAAGATAATTTCCCTTTTCATCTTTTCCCCTTGGTTGTTATATTCTGACTCTAGAAGTGACAAGGCATTCAAGCCATCATCGATTACAAATCCAGCACTACCACCCCTCAAAGCTCATACAGTAGGCTTTATGCTCACTGTTAATGCTCATACTGTATAAAACAAGTTTATGTCTTCATTTCACTTTATATTCGCTTCAGATTTTACTCAGGACCTCAGGAGCCTTTTTTGGACCTCTGGTTAAATGCATAGTACTTATACTTGTGAAGTGACAATATAGTTAAATCAAATCTGTTTGTAATAAGAGGCAGAGGTACATAGTAGCATCATTTTGTATGCCTCATTGTTGATAATTATTCATGTCATAAAACAGGCACATAAAGTTGATATACTAATTCACACTAAATAACATCAAGATATCATTATAAGTTAGGCATATAGTAATTTATTATTATGATCTTTATGGCAAGCTTTTCAAAACGATTGTTGTTTCGAATTGCATTCAGTATACAGTACGAGGCTGGCTGTTTATAAAGCTATATGGTACATGCAAAAAGCAAAAAAACTGAAACTATCACTGTTTAACAAGAGAGATAGAGTCACTACAATAGTGTTGTTGTTGCTGTTTGCATATCAAAAAATCATGTCAATATGTTTAGATCCAGTCATGTATTAACTTAATATATAGGCCTATATATATATATCTATATATATATATCTATCTATATATATAGATATAGATATACAGTATATATATATATCAGTTTAGCCTGAGGTTATGCAATTGAGTTATTTTAACTTAAACTCACATTGTACCAGTTCACATATTGTACAGGAAAGATATTCAAAACTTCATGACATGAAACAGTGCACCTGCAATTCAGAAAAAGAATTATAACAGACATAAGTTATTAATCATATAGATATCTTATAGAACAAGATCATTTACCCAGACATATTCTTTATAAAGGTAATCATTCATATCATTTAAACAAAATCAAATACCAGTGATTCTGTAACACTAAAAAAAGCTTCAGGAGTCCACAGTGCAAGTGTTTTTAAATCATCTCAGCCCCAGTCTGAAATAAGTCCCACAATGTCCTAGACCTGGTTTATTTGGCATGAATGGCAATCAGTAATTGGGCAGTGTTCTGGCAGTTAAAGTGTCAATGTAACCATTCTCTGCCAGAACCATTTCATCATGTCCCATTATGACAGTGTGAATGCAGGCTGTGGGCTTCTGTATACTAGGAACTGATGATGATGTGTAGCAGTTCTCCGTTCTGTCTCCAGTCATGTCCTGGTAATCATAAAGGCAATCACCTTCTTGTGGAACCTCTCCTTTGAGCAGCAGCCTGTTGTACCTGTCCACTCCCTGCACCCTGCTGTAGTCCTTCCCAAGAGGCAGCTGAGAGCAGCCGTCAATGTGGCCGTGCCCTGATTCTACAGGTTGGAGAAGCACCGTATTCTCCTCATTTACTCTCTGCACCTCCACATACTCAGCTGAGTGGGGAGCCGGCGACCGCAAACCACCAAGAGCCTGTTTGCAGCCGATGCTTGAGATGTTGACTTCACTGTGGGCTTGGAGTTGGCAGCGAGCTTGAGTGTGGGAATGGAGTAGATGAGGTTGCTTGATCCTCAAACTGAATTCCCGATTGCTCGATCTGATGGCCTCCATGGTGGTTTGGCCTCCCTGGTCGAGGGAGAAAGATGTGGAGCCTGGGGGGAACAGACTGTCAGAAAAGCAGTGCTTTTTAGCCTTCTCAAGTGAGCTCTTTTGGTTGTGTCTACTTGAGCTGTACTGGGGCAGCGGAGAAAACAAAGAAGGCCAGGTCTTCACCCTCCCACTGGAGATGTTGGGACTGACCATGTCTTCGTAAGCATAGGTCAACCCCTCCTCCTCCCAGTCCTTCTGTTGCCTCTGGTCTTCCGTCCCTGTTCGACTCTTCTCCTGATCTCTTTGCCTCTTTTCCTCTTTCGCCTCTCGAAACTTATCCATGAGCAGAGTGTGGCTGTCGCAGCTGCCCCGGCCAGAGTCACTGTCTGATGTGCAGCCCTCAGATTTGAGGCAAATGTCGTGTAGATCCTTGCTTTCCTCCATCAGCTCCTGCTCCTCAGGGACATACACCTCTAAATACTCCACCAGTAGGTCCTCACAGTTAGGTGATGTGGTTGGGGGGAAACCGGAAACCACCAGTGAGCTGAAGATCTCATCAGACTTGCCATTCTACACACAAAAATACAGGAAAGTCAGTTTCAGATAGACTAATCAGAGGGCACATTAAAGACCTTAGTTGTCATGTGTAAACTTAATTTAGGTGTATCTATGTGTCGCCACTTTACCTTGAGAAGCTGCTTATCAAATCCTCTGATTTTCGGACCCGGGACAGGTGGCAGAATAAAATCTTTCAGACTTAATTCATGGAAAAAAGAGAGATGAAAGTTAGGGCTTGTGAGCAGCACATGGAAAAAATATAAAAAGAGTCAATACTTTTCTTACTATTTTCTATTAAAGCCTGCAGGACTTAAAAGCCCTTTTAGTTAAAGATCACAACCTAATTAGCTCTTTCTTTATTAAGTTATTAAACTGTTATAAAGAACAAAAAGATTAAAATGCCATCAACATGAAATTCATGAAAGTATCACATACACTAAGTGTTAAATTCAATTTGTACAAAGTTGTATTTTCCATACTGTTATCTTTAAACTCTTTATGTGACAATGAAGTTGCAGTCAGTCATTTCAACCCCTAATAAAAATCAATTGTATGACTGAGAGATGTGTTTGTCACATAAAAAAAAATGCTGTAATCAAAGTGTTGCCCCTGAATAATATGCTTAGAAAATAAACATTGGAGCATTTTATGTTGAAGTAATGTGATCACAAAAAAGAACCTTGATGTCTAATCTAATTATAAAGTTATTGGCTCAAAATAAACTTGAAAGCTAAAGCTGCTATTGACTTAAAAAAGGTTAGATAATACATTTAACATTTATATAAAATGAACAATAAATTTATATTGTTATTTGTCAAAGAAAATCGATAAATTATCATATTTTACCTATGGCCGTTCATGTGAAGCAACCATGTGAGGATGAGGAAGATGAAGGCACAAAAGCATGTAATGAGGACCCACATGGGCTTTTCTCGTTGGATATCTGAAAGACAAAATATAACACGATTGCTTTAACACAACATATGACTTTAGTTACATGTTGTTAGTGTATGAGAGTGTTATTAAAATCTTAGTTACAGAGATTATATCATTTAAGAACATAGGCTAATTGATGAAAGCTGAATGAGAAGATGGATTCAGTTGTAAAATCTGTCTTTTAATTGTGAAACGGAGTCATGGTATAATTAGCTTTGCCTGTCTGTAAAAAGGTGGATCAGCTAGTTTTGTTTCTTGCAAAGGCAGAAAACTCCCATCCCTACCTCAACTCCAGCCTACCAGCACCGCAAACCTTCACTAATAAACCCTTCTTATCATGACTGTTTATTCTGTAGGATAAACAGTCATGTATTGAAACAATACAAATTCATAAGTCATTCCTACCAGGAAAGAAATAGTTCCAGCACCCAGCACATAAATACCTTCAAAAACTCAAACTAATAGTTTCTACAAATTGAATAAGCCCGAAATGATGTCTGAGAGTTGTAAGTAAATCTCCCTCTTTCCAAAGGTTAGAATACTAGCTACTGTTTCCCAAAGTCGCAATTAAACTGAGGTAAGCTGACACATGAGCTCATTTCACAAAATGTTTAGCTATTGTCCTCCAGCTGTTCATGCAGAATTCCCCAATGCAAAGTAAACCATTTCAAAGACATGTTTCTGCCACTTCATTAAAATTTAAAATCATGTTTTTTTTAAGGTTGTACAGATGGTGGAATAGCGTCATGGTGTTCTTATCATTTTCTCTTATTAATGTCAAGTTTTTTTATGTGGAACTTGTGCAAATACAGATCATGTGAAAAAATGTAGTGTGTAGTTTTCATTAGAATGGCGGGGGGGATTGTTGTTTGTTTCTATAGTTTTATTGAGTCTACTGTAAAGGCAGCTATATGTGTGTGCAGCACTTCAGTGCAAGACTAATTTCCCCAAGGGGACAATAAACTGTATCATATCCGTTCGACTGGTATCATATGCTATGATAAATGTATTGTAATGTTATGTGTTCTGTATAGTTTATGGTAGAGAATAGTTCGT